TTTTGACGATGCTTTCGCTTTGTGGAAAAGAAAAATGAAGCGTCGACATCCAGAGGGCCAGCGCTCTATTCAGAGCTATTTTGAGCTGCAGGCAAAGTGTGTAGCCAGTGCTAGTGGCGAAGGTCAAGCGATAGATGAGAATGCAGACGCACCTGACATGCAAGTGAAGTATGCATGCAACGAGCAGCGCTGAGGAAGAAATCGTCGCCGAAGCTGTAGAGCGACCGTTGTTGGAAGCTGCTGAATCATCCAAAACGTACTTCAATGACATGGGAGGGTGTTGGAAGGGATATACTGAAAGTCGACGTCAACAGTGGAATCCAGTCCCCCGAAATTTGCTGGACACGGAAAAGATTTCCGTCATCGACAATCGTTGTGCGCCACCGCAGGCGAAGGATTTCATTTCCTGTGCGTGTCCAGATGGATGGCAAACAGCGCCACTTTCAACTATCCTTGTTGGAGGAGTTACCCTGGTGAGTCTTTTGACAGGCATGCAATGGTGTCTTCTGCTTGCCCTGTGTGATGTTTGCTCCAGATGATTCGAAACTTAGGCAGCTTTCAAGACTGCATGCAATCGTCATGCTGACCAAAACATCCATAAAACGGGGAAAAGTTCAGTCTTTTAAAATCATAAATGCGTAGCAATGACATCGTCCAGCAGCTTGTGGATGGCAATTTCACCCAGTCTGAGGAGAATATGCAGAAACTCTGTGGGGTACGAAAAACAGCACTTCAATTGTGTGTAATGGTGGTTCATCAGTTGGCATGGGAACCACTCCTGGAGGCGAGCGGCGTACGCCCCTGGTTGGTGAGCATCGACTCTGCCAGTTTTCGCTGTAAAACTCTGTACAGGGTGCCATCTCCGAGCTCTTGGTCTCGGCCTGCCTCGCGTAAGTTGAGGATGGCAATGTCGAGCAGGTCACCAAAATGCTCGAGGTCTTTGGTGCTCTTCACACTGGGGTGACTTTCTAGTTCATCCAAGTGGAGCGCTAATTGACGACGTTGTCCGCCAAACTTCCGTTCGAGTCGCCGCTTGGCTGCCTCATAGGCCGCTGCTGAGTGTCCGAGTCCGTCAATAACTTTCAGCGCGTCGCCTTTCAGGTACTGGCGAAGCTGCAACAGTTTATACTCAGGTGTAGCGGGTGCCTGGTCAATACAAGCTACAAAAGCTGCACGCCACGCGTTGTACTGCCGCTTGTCGCCGGAAAACTCTGGGACCGCAACACGCTTGAGTTGTCGCCACATGTCTGTTCCCAACGCCGCTGGTCCGGGCGATGCTGTCACAGACCTCGGCATCGAGCTTGCGCTAGCTGGCACAGCGTGTGGTGCTGACATTGGCACTGCGGACATTGGCACTGCGGACATTGGCACAGGTGCAGCCTGTGCTGCTGAGACTGAGACTGCTGGAAATGCTGATCCTGGAGCAGACCATGATGGAGCTGCTGATACTGGTACTGGAGCAGCCCATGCTGCTGACATTGGTGCGGCTGAAAACATTGCTGGTGTAGGTACAGCAGATTGCAGAGCTATAGGTTGAGTGGCAGTCTGGCCTACTCTGGTCTTGGCTGTTGGCAAGCTCATCCCAGACACTGGCAGAGTGGTATGCACAGTTGTACTTGTACTAGGCACTGCTGGTGCATGCCTGCTGCTAGTCTTGGTCCCAGTGGCAGCGCTGACTGTCACAGTGCTTCCCATACCTATCACTGGCCTGGCCTGCAGGTAACCTGGTGGTGGTGCACTGGATGTTGCCAAGTAGTTGGTACTGAAACTGGCACCTGTACTTCTGAAACTAATGCTTGTCACACTGGCCTGTGCTGGTGACAGGTTGTTTGTGGTTGCAGGTGACAACCCTGCAGTGGTGCTGGTACATGTACTAGAAGTAGAACTAGTACTGTTACTAGTGTTAGTGGCAGAAGTAGTACTGCTACTGCTAGTGCTGGACTGAAGCGCTTGGTCTCCGAGACTCTGGCCCGCTACGTCTGCTCTAACTTTCACTTCACTGGCACTGGGCTGAGCACCAGCTTCTCTGATCGCTGTGTGCTCCATATCCACAGTACTACTACTATCTGTCTGCAGCGCTAGCGACTCCACTCCGTACTCAAATTCCCGTGCTCCACCAGCATGTTCATCGCGTTCATCAGCGCTGTTCTCATCGACAAGAGCAGTGTGCCTATCCAGGTAAGCTCGCAGTTTGTAGATTTGAGTTTTTCTGGACGGACTTCCAAAACGTGTACTGGGCGTGACAAAACTGCTGTATTGCCGACAGAAGTCCGCACTTCGTTCCATCGCGGACGTATATTTCTCTTCTGTTTGCTCCGCATCCTCAGATAACTTGCGTAATTCTCCCAGACAGTCTGGGGTCTGCTGAACATAACTCGCCAGGGTCCTGGTGACTCCTGCAAGTTCGTCCATGGCTCCTTGCAGCAAGGAAACTGCTTTCAGTACCGTTGCCTTGTCCGGCACAGGTCGCGTGTCGACATCTACCAAGACCAACAGCCCCCGCCTCGCATTCGTGAGCTGCGTCTTCGCTGCCGACTTCCGCAGCTTCAGGAGCTCGATCTCACGCTCCAAATCATGGCATTCCTCCGAGGATGCCATTCTCAGGCGAGGATCCTAACCTAACGACAAACCATCCTCTGCTACCAAATGTTTTGACGGCTACAGATCATACACCTCGGCGAGGATCGACACTCATGAATTGCTGTGGTGTTGGCTCGAAGAGCACTCGATTATTCCAACAAACTACAATACATGCAAAGAAAAAACTCTCCGGAAACAAAAAGGCAGCGCAGCCAAACAAAGGTACAGCTAAAACCTCATGCCGCACGCACAAGAACACAACAACCAAAAAAGGCTACACGGTGCCAAGGCTGGCTCAGCGAAACCGACCGCAGCGGAACCTAAAAGGTAGCCCGCTGTACAACTGCGATATTACATCAGGCATCAAGGTGCCCCCAAGGGGAGCACATGAAGACAGTAAGATGCCAGGAGATAAAGGTCAAATCACAGAGAACCGACAGCATGACCGCAATGGCAATCAGGAAGAGAAAGCAAATCGCAACTGAACATGACATGAACGTGTAGACTAACTCCGTGGCATTCTCGCCACGCCAAGAAGGAAGAGGCTAGGTCCTAGGATGCTGCCTTGGGGGTTGGCGGAGTTCCAGGGTGCACAGTTGTGCTTGTTGCCGACGTGGGCGATACATTAGAGAGGTTTTGCATTCCGAATTTCGGAATTATTTTCGGAATGTGGCGGCAGCAGTCGAAAAAGTAGTCGAACTTTCGGAAGTGTGGTGGCGAAAGTGCATGGTTTTCCGAAAATGGATTTTCGGCTCTTTCATGTTTGGGAGTACATATTTGAATACAAAAAAGTGTATTTTTCATGGTTGTATTTTTGCTTTCTGCTGCTCTCGAGTATTTGAAAAAATTTCCACGTTTTGTAGTCAGTTTGATTTTTGCTGGTTTTGCTGCTCTCGCTGATCTCGCCATGTTGACTAATCTTCTCACACTCCATCACACTCTATCTTCCTTTGCCATGGAGCCTACTGACAGTACAAGACAGTAGTTCGCCAACCTCGTCTTCAGCTGTTGGATCACTTGGTCCACCATCAGTACGTCCTCATCTTCGAACCGCACCCAAAGACAGTTTGGCCTGCGCACATGGATTTGATCCTGCTCAGGGAGTCGTAAAATACCAGGTATTTTACGACTCCCTGATCCTGCTCAACCCCTTCGACGCTCTCCATTTTGTTTTGCATGGCAACCCTTGGAAACGAAGTCGAATCAGATTTTCGGAATGCAAAACACTGAAAATACCGTTTTTCGGAACGCGCTTTTTTCGGAAAAGCACAGTCGAAAATAATTCCGAAATTCGGAATGCAAAACCTCTCTAATGTCGTACTGGTCGTGGACTGGGTCGTTTGGGTGCGAGCTGGGGAGCAGGTCTGCCTTCGGCGTGCTGTTGGCACCGTCAGAGGCCGTTTTGGATACTGCGCTGGCGTGGGTCGAACTCTGGACCGCTTTTGGTGCCGAATCGGTACGGTGAGCATGAGAGTCAGCTTCAACTCCGCTGTTCCGCTCTGTGCTGCCAGTGCTAGCTGCTGCCTTCTCTGCCGGCATGCGTGGAGGTGTGTGCACTGCGATGTTTTTGGCAGGTACGCGCGATGGGACCTATCTGGCCACATAGCCTGCACGTGCCTGCCTGGCCGTCATAGATGATGCGGAGCTCGTGGGAGCCTTCTGTCGTACGTAAGTACGACGGGATCGAACTGCCTGGTTTCATTTCGAACGAGGCGAATCGCACACCAGTTGCTGTTTGGGTGCCGTTAGAAAGTTTGATTTTGCCGTGTCGTATCTCACCGATAAGCTTCCCGTACGGTGAGAGCGCAGTTTTTAGGACACCGTCTGAGATCCAGATCGGAGCATCATGGATGTGTTACTGTGTTGTTGGTGCGGAAACGAAGCGTGGTGAAACCCGTTCGCCCTTGCAATCGAAGCCATTGAGCATCAACAATTTGGCTTTTTCATATCACCCAACGGTAAGTCTACATTGACCCCTGCTTGTTGTCTGCATCGAAATGATGCCGGTGATACCTTGCTCTTCTAGGAGCTTTATGTAGGCCCCCACGCTTACCTGGGCTTGCGAGGGGAATACAACAGTGTTCTTCTTCAGTGTCGAAGACGAGAACAGTCGCCAGGGCTCCGTATCAGCTCCGTTTCCGGCATGACGCCTGGTGGTTGTAGTGAATCAGCACTCTAAGTGATCTAGTGTACTACCTGTGCATCCACAGCCATACGGGCTGGGAGCGGACTATTATGCTAAAAAAAACTATGGAGCTCCAAAAACTGCTTCCGCTCTCCAGTGTATTATGTTTAAGAACATGTAGCGAGAATCTTGGAATTGGGACAAACTCTCAAACCTGCATCCAAGTGTTGTTGTTGTTCTTGCGCTAACCCTATACTGTATGTTATACTTGTGTTTTCGACTTCTATCTCTTCAGAGTTCCCACATTGTAGGCGGGGTGTCATGCAGTACAGAGTATACTCTCACTTCCTATCTTATGAAGCTGCCACACAATTCTGCTTTGAAAAACGAGGGGAGTTGGCACAACCACTCACTAAATCCTTAAACAGCTGCTTGGCGGCCACCATCAACATCATTGAAAAGAATGGATATAAGAGTGGAACTAACTTCTGGCTAGGTATCAAAGGTGACGCTGACATGAAGCAATGGTGGTACGTTGACTCGGAGGATGAAATTGGTTATTCAAACTGGGCAGACGTTGATACCAAGAGAAAGTACGGCGGATGTGGCGTGCTGCTCCTTAACCAAACGGGTCACTGGGGCTCCGAAGATTGCAACAAGCCACACAGATTCATATGCCAAAGTTCACGGTGTAAGCAATACCTTTGAAGTGACATGTCTGTATTAGTGCTTCTCATACTAACACAACTAATCTACAACCAACGGACGCCGACCGTTTTGACTGCAACATTTTTTTCTCCAAGAGTGCCTACGTCTGGTAGGTGATAGGGGAGAATAAAAGCAGAAGCCGATTGCAGCTGAACTTAAAGCTACTACAGGTGATAAGAGCAGTAGCAAGGCGGGAGCCAGTAGAAAGCTCTGGAGAACAGCACGTGGCCTAGCGAAAAGGCACTGCACACTACAAAGAGGAGCAAGGTGCGACCTGACCAATTACAGCAGCGGAGGCAGTGGTAGCAAAGGTCTGCTTCTGCCTACAGAGGTGCATTTACACATACTTTCTCCGGAAACAAGAAATTCGTAACATTTGTTCACTAATTTCCGCTGCTGTTCTGTCGCTCTCTGTGTGGCTCTGCCGGCCTCAAACACCGACAGATGACATTTCGGAACCATAGCAAGGCATGAATCAATTCTGGAAAGACAACAGTCATCGCAAGGCAAGGGTGTCGTGCTGTAAATCAAGAGAAATGACGGTGTTTTGCATTTTTGTCCACATGGCACATTGCCAACAAAAGCACTGCGCTCGCTGCTCGTCGTTGACAGTTTTTGCTACAGAATGAGAAGGAGCAGGACAATGGCACTGAGGAGCAAGAAGAGCGTGAAAGGGACAGCAGCTAGCATTTTCGAAATCTGTGTCATCCGCAAACACACCAGGCAAAGTGTGAACAGGTCGGCAATATGTCAAATCTCCAAAACGCAAAGATGTGGCACCCGTCACTTTGCGCAGCGCAGCAAAGCTAAGATGTTCAAAATAGAAATCGCTGTTCTGTCACAGAGGAGCCCATACCTCAGAGCGGATGATCTCTCCTTTTTCAGCAGCCTCCACTCCGACATCTCCTTGGTCGCATAGGAGAACAGGCGAGATCTCCTCGCAGCATTTGTTAAGTCATGGGACGACTACAATGCGGAGCGAAATGTTTGGCTTTCCATGTAAGCGCCGTCGTTCTGGGGCATTATCGACGAGTCGAGAGCGGAAGCGATGAGTACCAGCGGTCTCTACAATATGTAGATGCTAGGGAAGGAACTGGGGTGAATCACAAACTAGTAACAACGAAAACGATCGGAAACGCGGAGAAGCTGCTCCGTGACATGCGAGAATGCATCGATCGACCTGCCACTTTGGTTGGTTCCAGCGGTGATGAATCCACTGATGGCGACTCAGATTGAGACTCTATTCCCATCAATCAATCTTGTAGATATTGTATATAATTCCATTTAGTAACTCACTGAAAAGTCATGTGAAGAAGTCACAAAGTTTTGTTTCCGGAGGAAGTATTTATTTACCGTACTCACTCGATTAGAAGCCGGGGGCTTCTATTTTTCAATACCAATTTCGAAGAGGTTTCTATTCAAGAGGGGCTTCTATTCGAGAGAGTCTTTTATTGTTTAATTCCATACCAGCATTCCAATCGAATCTCTAAAACTGTCATATTCACAGCAACTCGGCCCCGAGTTAGTTTGCACACATTATGTCGACCAGGACATGAACCAATATGAACATGAACGAGATGTTTTTTTGCGCACTTGACCTTCATACATGGCACTACCTGGTCACCCCATGCTTTGCAAATAGTAGTCTGGGCTTCTATTCGAGAGGGGCTTTTATTTTTTCAAACAGTCCTTGCAGGGGGGCTATTATTCCAGAGGGGCATTTATTCCAGAGGGGCTTCTAATCAAGTGAGTTTGGTATATCTGCACCTTGTGGCATGTCAAAACTGTCAAAACTGCCTATTGAGCTGAGGAGAGGGTGAGACCAACCACGGAAAAACAGGAGGAAAAAAATGAAAAGCAAACACCCAAAAGGAGAAGGGATTAGCAACTTGAAAAGCAATCGGATGCCCAGCAAGCTATGCAGAGTTTGGGCTCATACCGAGATTCTAGCACCTTCACATGACGATCAGAGTGACAACATTACCTTCCAACCAATCCGGCTTCAGGAAACAAGACGGGACCGAACTGCAACTCGCACAGATCGACCACCAGATATCCACAGCTACAGTAGACTCGTACGCCCAAGAACGCAGTTTCAGACATGGCACGTGCTTGTTGCCAAGAGACGACCAATGAGCGGCCAGAATAAGCAGTCAAGATCAGTCGATCTTGACCGCTTAGCCGGTCAAGAACAGCAGTCGTACAGCATCGCGCCGCACATGCGCATTTACTATTTTTCGAAGTCCTTGCCTTGGGCAGCATCTCCGACGAGGACTAAAAATTTGTCTCCCTTCTCCAAAATTATTATATACTCACTACTGTCTTGAACGTCTGCAGGGAGACCAGAAACGCCAACCGACCTTGCAGCTGATCCTGTTTCTCACGGCGAAACATATACAAGGGAAGCAGACCTCCACAAGTACATGTTGTACCTGCCCTAAGGCTGCAGCTTCTCAGCACTCGCATTTCAACCTTACTCTGGCAATCATCTAACTCGAAGAACGGGTTTATTCCGAGTCCGTTATATTACTGGTACTAACGTTACTGCTGCCTTCCCCGTACTTGAATACTTTCATCTCAAAACTGGAAAGTTCGAACCAAACAAATAGCTGTTTGTTATGGTCACTGCACTGTACAATGTGACATCAACTCATTTGCCGTCAAGGCTTTCTTTCTGTTTGAATCTCTCTACTGTACTGGGCCATGGGCCTTGTCAGTTGTCTGAACCACAATCCTACACAGTTGTGTCGGGCATGCCGCTCTGATCAGGCCCTCGGTCATGTGAGTGATCTTGCCCTCGGTCGCGACGCCCTCGGGGCTACACCCCTTGGACGTCGCGACCTCGGGCAAGATCACTCACAGACCTCGGGCCTGATCAGAGCGTCATGCCCTCGCAACTGTGTAGGATTATGTATTTCAGAGGTCCAGCCTAGCAAAGTTCTTATTTTTCAGCGCCCCAGGCTACGTTCTTATTTCGCGTTCTAACGCGTCCAACATGACCCGTGACTCTCATGTACATATGTACAATGCACTTTGCGCTACATGTACCGGCTGTACACTTTACATGCATGTCAGGGAGTCGTACTCAAACTAGGGAGGTGACACGGCACAGAAATCCATGTCACAGGGGTTGACTCGCACCCGTAACCCCTCGTTGTTATTTTTGGAATAGTTCAGTTCAGTCCAGTCCGAAAGGTCATACCGTATTATTGGCGCACTAGCCAGTGGCTAGAGCGTGTTAGCGCCGCATGAACACCTGCCAGCTGGCAGCTTGATTACACTAATCGCGTCCAACATGACCCGTGACTCTCATGTACATACAATGCACTTTGCGCTACATGTACCGGCTGTACACTTTACATGCATGTCAGGGAGTCGTACTCAAACTAGGGAGGTGACACGGCACAGAAATCCATGTCACAGGGGTTGACTCGCACCCGTAACCCCTCGTTGTTATTTTTGGAATAGTTCAGTTCAGTCCAGTCCGAAAGGTCATACCGTATTATTGGCGCACTAGCCAGTGGCTAGAGCGTGTTAGCGCCGCATGAACACCTGCCAGCTGGCAGCTTGATTACACTAATCAATCACGCAGATTCACGTCGCTAATCAGTAATCTACAGCGCAGCTCCGAAACCGCGCCAAGAGAGGTTGCAGCTCACACCTCGTATTTCTTCTGCTCCAAACTTTTCGCCAGTATTCTGTGAAAGACTACCAGCAATTTTTTTAACTCCTGCCATGTCCGAACTACTTGATAGCAGTGATGGTAACAGCAGCAGTTATGAGACGGCATGTAGTGTTGCGGTAACTGTTCAGAACTGTTCAGAGTCGTATCCTAGGTTAATCCGAGAAGTACTAAAAATTGACCCAAATTGCACATAACACGAAGCTGGTTTTTGAAAATTGAAAGTCGTGTATCTGCCCCATTTCTTCTTTATGACTTGCACAATACACCAGTCTTCCTAAACAACACATTTATAGCAGGGGTTAAGTACCAAATAAGAGAAGTACAGCCAGTGATATTGTCATGTTGAAATACTACAATTTTGACACAAATTACACATAACACGAAGCCAGGTTTTGAAAAATGTAAGTCGTGTATCTGCCTGATTTCTTATTTATTACTTGCACAATGGTCAAGTCTGCCTAAATAACACATTTATAGCAGGGGTTATGTACCATGTTGGAGAAGTACAGCCAGTGATATTGTCATATCTATATACTACATTTTTGACACAAATTACACATAAACACGAAGCTGGTTTTTGAAAATTGTAAGTCGTGTGTCTGCCCCATGTCTTCTTTATGACTTGCACAATACACCAGTATTCCTAAACAACACATTTATAGCAGGGGTTAAGTACCATACAATATAACTACATTGTACATCTAGTCATACTGTCATAAGCAGCCAGCATTTTTCCTGCAGCAGGCACACCACCATCATCATTAATTCCAGGGAAATCCTCTTACATTGTCAGCTCCTACGTCGTTAGATATAATGTAGGGGGCTGTAGGACTGGCTCGTCAAAAATAGAGAACCTGAACAAGCGTGCTCGGGACGTCTCAGCAATCGTAGTATGCCTGAGCACTCCACTAAAAACTTGATCAATGGCAAAATCGTTCCCCACAGAAAAATCATACTTTGCGGGTCTTGCTCTGCACACTTGGAGGTGAAGTACAGAAGGTGAGTCGATCCGAGTATGACCTTTCGGACTGGACTGGACTGAACTATTCCAAAAATAACAACGAGGCGTTACAGGTGCGAGTCAACCCCTGTGACACGGATTTCCGTGCCGTGTCACCTCCCTAGTTTGAGTACGACTCCCTGATGCACGTGTAGTATGTAGCCCTGCACTGGGTGATGTTTTTGCGAGGACCCGACAAGAGTTTGTGGTTGCGGACTTGTTTTTCGTGTACTCGGACAAGATCATGAAGGAAAAATGTCGCTTTCTTAAAAATCTTGGAGTCTTAAATCCAGGCTGG